TGCAATATTATAAAAATTCTTGAAGAAAACAGGAGAAGATCTACATGACTTTGGTTTTGGTGATAAGTTTTTTAGATACAACATCAAAAGGATGGTCTATGAAAGGCAAAATTGATAAGTTAGACTTTCTAAAAATAAAAAAGAAACCTTGAATGCTCTTTGAAAGACATTGTTAGGAAAAAGAAAAGAGAAGTCACAGACTATGACAAAGTGTTTGCAAAACATATATCTGACAGAGGATGTGTATCCAAAATCTACAAAGGAGGCTTAAAACTGAACAATAAGAAAACAAATTTATAAAAACTCAATCAATGGGCAGAAACTCTGAACAGACACATCGCCAAAGAAGATATGCAGATGGAAAATAAGCATAAGACAAGACCGTCAACATCATTCTTCATTAGTGAACTGTGAATTAAATAACAATGAGATACACAGCTACTAGTATGTCTAAAAATACCACTTGCTGGCAACACTAAGGAGCAACAGACACTGTCATTCATTGCTTCTGGGAATGCAAACTAGTACAGCCACTTTCAAAGATGGTTTGTCAGGTTTTTGTTTGCTTGTTTGTTTGTTTGTTTTTAACAAAGCTGAGCACAGTCTTGCTATTCCTAGGTATACATCCAACTAGCTTGCAAACTTGCGTCCACACAAAAAACTTGCATACAAGTGTATATGGCAACTTATTTCATAATTACTAAAAACTGGAAACAACCAGGATGTTCTTCAATAGGTGAACGGACAAACAAACTGTGGTCCAACAATAATAGAACATTATTTGTGAAAAAAAGAAATGAGCTATCAAGCAACAGAAAAACATGGACAAATCTTAAATGCTTGGTGTTAAAATGAAAAAAGCACTATAATGAAAAGCACTACAGTCTAGTTGATAAGTCTGTTTCCCATAAGGATGGGGGTTAACAATTCTGGTTCTACTGTATACACACACACACACACACACACACACACACACTTGTACGTATGTATATATATCTACCCATGACCAACTACTTCATTTATTTAGTTTTAATTTTTATTTTATTTTATTTTTTTGAGATGGAGTCTTGCTCTGCCACTCAGGCTGGAGTGCAGTGGCACGATGTCGGCTCACTGCAAACTCCGCCTCCGAAGTTCACACTATTCTCCTGCCTCAGCCTCCCAAGTAACTGGGACTACAGGCACCCGCCACCATGCCTGGCTAATTTTTGTATTTTCAGTGGAGATGGGGTTTTACCATGTTAGCCAGGATGGTCTCAATCTCCTGACCTCGCAATCCGCCCGCCTCGGCCTCCCGAAGTGCTGGGATTACAGGTGTGAGCTACCACACCCAGCTGGAGCAACTACTTTTATAGATAAAGAATGGTAGGAGCCAGATCTCTCATTGTTGGAGTGGATACTTACAGAGAAACAAAGGAAGTAGGCTAGAAGCTCCTTGTGGTAAAGGAATAGTGTTGGAGACATCAGTAAGAACTCCTGTATAGTTTAATATACATACAGAGGATTGCACACACACACACTTATAGATAAGTGTATATGTACAGGTTTATAAACACACATACATTTCCTTACTCTGTCAGATGAGACAGCTAGGAGCAACAACTCCCCAGGAACAATGAGCATACCTAGCACCCACATCTAGGATTCTAGTATTCTTCTCCAATAAAAAGGAAGCAGAAATCCATGGAAAAATGAATTCTTCTATGACTGGAACAGGAAATATACAAATGAGCCTGAAACACTTCGTCATGACAGAAAGTAAGGCAAAGCAAAAAACATGTATAATGATGGAGGTATGTGAAAGGAACACCAGAGCCAACTGAAAGAGCTTCCAATGGACAAAGGTGGAACAATTTGAACAACAAAATAAAGTGGTATTGGATTATAACCCAAAACATATAATAAATAACCATGAGTTCATCTGAGGTAAATCCATGCGTGAATAAATACATAAATAGGGGAGAATAAACAAATCTCCCACTGAGAAAAATTCCAAATCATTCGTGTCAGTGCCAACCCTTCCCTAGTTATGTGGCGTGCGCCTAATGATTTCCTTTTTAAAAGTATAATATGGAAAGGGGAGAAGTAATAACCTTACAGAGGGAAAGCCTGACAAACACTGTCTCAGCCAGGTGGTCAAAGTCAACATCAACCGTGATAAATCATGGTGGTAGAATAAAGTGTGGTGAGAATGGCAATTCATCTTTCTGGTCTTCCTGCCCCAAACCATTACCCCAGTTTAATTATGAGAAAAAACTCAGACAAATCCCAATTGAGGGTCATTCCACAAATTGCCTGACCAATACTCATCAAAACTGTTAAAGTCATCAAAAATAAGGAAAGCCTGAGAAACTATCACAGTCAAGAGAATTCTAAGGAGACATGATGACTAAAATAATGTATCCTATATGGGATCCCGGAACAGTAAAAAGTCACTGAGGATGACTATTGGCTTGTAAGTCGTGACAAATGCATCATATCCATGTATGATGTTAATAATACAAGAAACTGGGTGTGATGTATATGGATCCTCGCTGAATCATCTTTGCAACTGCTGACGGTTTCCCACATGCTGTTCTTGTGATAGTGAGTGAGTTCTCATGAGATCTGATGGTTTAAAAGTGTGACATTTTCCCTCTCTCTTGCTCTCTCCTGCCGCCTTGTTAAGAAGGTGCTTACTTCTCTTTTGCCTTCTACCATGATTATAAGTTTCCTGAGGCTTCCCTAGCCATGTGGAACTGTGAGTCAATTAAACCTCCTTTCTTCATAAATTACCCAGTCTCAGGTAGTTATTTATAGCAGTGTGAAAATGAACTAATACAGCTTCAGATTGGGAGAAAATACGTGTAAATCCTGTGTCTGATGAACGACTCATATCCTGAATAAGGAAGTTTTAACACTCAACAACATGAAAACAAGCAATCCAATAAAAATATGTTAATGATTTGAAGATAATTCACCAATGAAGATACACAGATCACAAAAAGAGCATAAATTCTGGAAGAGGATGTGGAATTCTCATTCATTGCTGGTAGGGAAGCAAAATGTTACAGTCATTCTACAAGGCCATTGGGACAATTCTTATATAGTTAAACATCGACTTACCATTAGACCCTGCAATCATACTTCCAGGTTTTACCTATGTGAATTGAAAACTTCGCTTCACATACACAAAATCATGTACCCAAATGGATATAGCAGCTTATACATAATCACCAACCAAGATTTCCTTCAAGAGGTGAATGGATAAAGCTGTGGTTTATCCATAAACTGAAAGCCAATTAGAAGCTCAAGCTACCCTCAAATGTTCCAGGACATGCAGTTTTGGAGGCCAGGTCTACCAAATAGTCAGGCAAAACGAATCACCATCTTATCTCAACTATTCCAAAGAATCCAAAAGGATAGGCAGTTTTTCACCACATTCTCCCGGGCTCCCTCTTCTGGATTCAAAAAACCAGATGATGACACCTGAATCCCCATGCAACACTTGAGCCAAGTTCACTCATATTGCAGCAAATACCCCAAATAGATAATTGCATATTCAACACAGCAGTGGATTAAATAAACAAGAAGCCTATATCCAAGGAATACAAATATTATTATTTTCAAATTTTTAATGTTTGTGGATACATAGTAGGTGTATATATTTATGGGGTACATGAGATTTTGATACAGGCATACAATGTGTAATAATCACATCAGTATAAATAGGGTATCCATCACCTTAAGCATTTATCTTTTCTTTGTGTTACAAACAATCCAATTATACTCTTAGTTATTTTAAAATGTACAATAAATTATTGTCGACTGTAGTCAAATTGTGTCGTGCTATCAAATACTAGATCTTATTAATTCTAACTATATTTTTGTACCTTTTAATCATCCCCTCTCCTCCCACAACTACCCTTCCTAGGTTCTGATAACCATTGTTCTACTCTTTATCTCCATGAGTTCAATTGTTAATTTTTTTGCTCCCACAAGTGAGTGAGAACATGCAGTGTTTGTCTTTCTGTGCCTGGCTTATTTCACTTAACATAATCACCTCCAGTTCCATCCATATTGATGCAAATGACAGAATCTCATTCTTTTTTATAGTTGAATAGTACTCCACTATGTATATGTACCACATTTTCTTTATCCATTTTTTTGTTGATAGACATTTAGGTTGCTTCCAAATCTTGGCTATTGTGAATAGTGCAGCAACAAACATGGGAGTGCAGATATCTCTTTGATATACTGATTTCCTGTCTTTTGAGTATATATACCCAGAAGTGGGGCCACCAACAGTGTGGAAGTGTTCCATTTTCTCCACATCCTCGCCAGTATTTGTTACTGCCTGTCTTTTGGATAAAAGCCATTTTAACTGGGGTAAGATGAATGTGTCACTGTAGTTTTCACTTGCATTTCTCCGATGATCAATGATGCTGGCCACCTTTTCATATACCTGTTTGACATTTGTATGTCTTCTTTGGAGAAATGTCTATTCATATCTTTAGCCCATTTTAAAGTTGAATTATTAGGGTTTTCTTCTTATGGAGATGTTTGACCTCCTTATATATTCTGGTTACGAGTCCCTTCTCAGATGAGTAGTTTGCAAATAGTTTCTCCCATTCTGTGGGTTGTCCCTTGACTTTGGTGATTGTTTCCTTTGATGTGCAGAAGCTTTCTAACTTGATGTGATTCCATTTGTCCGTTTTTACTTTGGTTGCCTGTACTGGTAGGGTATTACTCAAGAAATCATTGCCCACACCAATGTCCTGGAGAGTTTTCCAAATGTTTTCTTTTAGTAGTTTCAAAGTTTGAGGTCTTAGATTTAAGTCTTTAACCCATTTTGATTTGATTTTTGTATATGGTGAGAGATAAGGGTCTAGTTTCATTCTTCTGCATACGGATATCCA